GGCGACTTTCACACACCTGCTGTATCTGTAGACTACAGTGCTAGATATGGCTACTGTTTCACACACCTGCTGTATCTGCAGACTACAGTGCTAGACATGGCGACTGTTTCACACACCTGCAGTATCTGCAGACTACAGTGCTAGACATGGCAACTGTTTCACACACCTGCTGTATCTGTCAATGACAGTGCTAGACATGGCTACTGTTTCACACACCTGCTGTATCTGTAGTCTACAGTGCTAGACATGGCTACTGTTTTACACACCTGCTGTATCTGCAGACTACAGTGCTAGACATGGCGACTGTTTCACACACCTGCAGTATCTGCAGACTACAGTGCTAGACATGGCGACTGTTTCACACACCTGCTGTATCTGTCAATGACAGTGCTAGACATGGCTACTGTTTCACACACCTGCTGTATCTGTAGTCTACGGTGCTAGACATGGCTACTGTTTCACACACCTGCTGTATCTGTAGTCTACAGTGCTAGACATGGCTACTGTTTTACATTCTGCACCCATGTACAATTGTTGGTTATTACCTACGCTTATTCTATAACCTACGCTTGTTGTAAGAGGCAATTATATGTGGATTGAGCTAAAGGTACAATTACATCCTTCACAGGATTAAACCCCTACAACGAAAGCCATGTCATTCCTGTCATGAGATCCTTCACAAGACTAATATGTTGGACAACACACAAAGGCTTCTCAGTCAATATTTGAAAAAACTGTCCACAGTAACAAGCCTAACACTCCTCTGTTTTGTCGCAATCATAACCTTATGATTTGAACAAAAGCTCATGTATGTGTAAGTTGACAACAAGATTCGGGAGTGAATCTGCTTCTGATTTCCACCCCTGGCATGGCATAACCTGCGACCCAGCGGCCAGCCTGCTCACACCATGCAGGTGAAGGCTTGCCTTTCTCAGGACATTCTCAAAACACATGGAAAATCTGGTTCGGATTTCAGGTTTCAGACATATGACCCCCTATGAAACAAATGCAACAGACAGACTTGCTGAATGATAGGCACGTTATAGGAATATACTTGGATCTTTTAAACGTAACTTGTATTCATTATTTTGTACGATCTTGTACGAAATATAGCCTGAAGAGAGTGTAGTTCACATGCTATGTATTTACTAGTGAGTAAGTGAGGTTTAATACTGCCTTGAACAGTATTTCAGTTGTATCACGGCGTAACAGCTTGATGTGGGAGGAAACCCTGAAGTATTTGTTTGTTTGTTGTTTCACACCACACTTAGCTATATCATGGCAGTCTGTAAATAATCAATTCTGGGCCAGACAATCCGGTGATTGATATCATGAGCATTGATCCACGCAATTGGGATATGATGACATGCATCAACCAAGGCAGCGAGCCTGACCCTCCGATCCCGTTCGTCACCTCTTACGACAAGGATGGGTAGCTGAAGATGTATAATAAACCAGATCTTCAAGGTACAAAACCCTGAAGTGATGCAGGTCTTTGACATTTACCAATTGGTGAAACCCAGGAGCACGGGTTGGTGCTGACAAACCAAGAAACAAAACAATAATCAGGCGAATCTAAGAATTGAACCCACAAACAAAGGCATGCCTAAGGACACATCAACTACCCAATGGTGAACTGGTTGTCCACAAGGAAATTTCAGGCCTTCCTGGAGTTTACCAGTGGACTTCTGTCAAAGAATGTCCAGATTTGTCAAACCAAGTAGAAATATCGGACATGTTGTAAGGCAATAAACACAGAAACTCAACCTCAAGTTAAGGTGAAATATGTTTTAACGTCGCGTTCAAGATTATTACACTTATATAGCAATGTGCATGCATGTGTGTGTGTGTGTGTGGCTGGTTGTACTAGTCCAGACAGATGCCAAGTTTTTAGTGCTAGATCACCGAGGTGCCATTCCGAAGTTTAACATGAATACCCCACTCAGACACAGTATACTGACTCCGAGCCGACTAGTTCTTGTTTTAGCTCCTTGATGCTGAGCGCCAGACAGGGTTACAACAAGTACATCTTTTAACATCTTTTGGTATGACGCGGCCGGGGATTGAACACCAAACTGTCAGTTCCTCGGGCGGACCCTCTACCACTAGACCACGGAGGCAGTCCAACCACTAACCACGGAGGCAGTCCAACCTCCATCCAGACAACTCAGTTCGGACCTTTGGAACACTGAGCAAACTGCAACTCCCATAGGTTAACATAGTCACAGACTTAGTGCTATTGGTCTAATGGAAACACGAACTCATGAACCCTGGCTTTAAACCTTACTCACTCACTCTTTGAGTTTCTGTACTATAAGTGAGAAAGGTTTAAAGCCACTTTCAGCAATATTCCATCAGCAGACACCAGAATGAGCTTCACACATGTTGGGAATTGAACCTGGCCCTGCAGCATGACAACCAAACCATTTTACCATTAGGCTACCCCACCTGCCTTATAACATATGAAATAGCAAGAAACATATCTACTGGAACAACATCAAGCTATGATGGATCACAAACAGCCTCTGAAACAAGACCCAGGACTTCCATCCCTCAACAGCTTCTTCCAATCTCTGTCATCCGAGACAGCCCCGGACCCTCCCATACCCTTGGCAACACCATGAGACTACAGCCACAGTGTTACACAGTACAAAGTCACACAGTACACTGCATCTACCTGTGGGTGAAGCCAGTGCAAACATCCCCTGTTTGTTTCATTCAGACTGCCTCACCCTGGCCCTTCCTCTTCTGACAAGCTCTTGCAGTGTTCGATTAAGGGAAGTCATATGATCCTTGAGCTTGTTTCCCGTGTATTTGAAACCCATAAAACTTAACCTTAATATTAGGGTCTTCATCATGTTCATGCTTAATTTTAAACACTAGTCTTTGGTCTACTTGATGAGTTTGTCTGTTTCACACCATGATAGAAACATTTTTTGTGCCAATTTCTATCTCTGTGATGGAAACCTGAAAATAATCGACTTGGTCACCTTTGGTCATCAGTATTTGGCTGTGACCAAAGTGTGTTTGACTATGAGATGGGTGTTTGCCTGAGACAAGGGTGTTAGATTCAGACAAGGGTGTCTGGCTGAGGCCGAAGTGTTGGAATGATACAAGGGTGTTTGACTATGAGATGGGTATTTGGCTGACACTATGGTGTTAGATTCAGACAAGGGTGTCTGGCTGAGGCCGAAGTGTTGGAATGATACAAGGGTGTTTGACTATGAGATGGGTATTTGGCTGAGACTATGGTGTTAGATTCAGACAAGGGTGTCTGGCTGAGGCCAAAGTGTTTGAATGATACAAGGGTGTTTGACTATGAGATGGGTATTTGGTTGAGACAAGGGTGTTAGATTCAGACAAGTGTTTGACAGAGACCATGGTGTTTGAATGTGACAAGTGTGTTTGGTTGAGACCAGGGTGTTTCATTCAGATCAGGGTGCTTCATTCAGACCATGGTGCTTAGCCGAGACCAGGGTGTTTGACTTAGACAAGGGTATTTGGCTTGGCCCAAGTTGCTTGATTAAGAATAAGATGCTTGACTGAGCCCAGTGTGTTTGACAGAGATGAGGCTGTTTGACAGGGCCCAAGGTGTTTGACTGAGTGTCAGATGGACCTTCCAGCGGTAGAAACTAACATGTTTGAACCACTAACCCTTATAATGATAACATATAGCAAAACCCTTACAAAGGGCAAAGTTCTACGAATCCTTATGATACCTTAACTATTTGGCAGTTTGGCAAGGACTACAATTTGCCAATTTCTAACACTGACCTTCCATATTGCTGTCAATCAAGAAACTGCACCAAAATCTAACTTTCAATGAATTAAGATAAATGGAACCAAAAATAGCACAAAATATGTTAGAATCACCGCCCAAAAACCCCAAGAGAAAACATGACAGTTTTTGAGATACGAACCCCATCTGGATGAAATTCTGTTGACCAAACATCCTTCTACTTCCTTCACTGGCCAGCAGCAGGACTTTGAATAGACATGTGGTGAGACATTAACTGTCTCTTTGTAACCCCGGCAGCCAACACATGGCTTTATAATTAACACCCTCCCATTATATCAACTTGTGTTACCAACGTGTTCAAATTCAACAGAACTCCCTAAACCACAACAGGACATTCTTTCACGGAGCAGATTTGCACTTCCGATAATCTTTCACTCCACAAACCAATCATAAACATATCGCAGTGTGTAAAACATTTCTATATAGAATGGCATCTTGAGATAAAGGAATAATTGTTGTCAGATACAATGTAATCAGTCGACTGGAAGCCATCATGACCAAAGTGCAGACACATGGCTTTACATCTCGAGATTGAAGTTTCACAGATATGCATTCTCAGGGAGTAAATTGGTCCAACTTTTAGAGGACTTCCGAATTCATGCAGCTAATTGCCTCAAGTAGGGCATATATATTTTCACAACACCTCCATGATGAACAGAGTTATGTCATAAGTACAGAAATTGAACATGAACTCTTGGTGCACAAAGGGGTGTACGTACTTAAGAAATGTTTTGAAGTTTAATGTTTTCTGGTAAGACACAGGATATTTCACATGTTGAGTATGACAAAATCCTCAAGTCAGATGTATGACTGGAATTATTAATATCAAGGTTTACATTAAAAATCAGTATGCTGTAATCTCCTTGTTTATAGAGAATTCTGAGGGAAAGAGGGGAGATAATTACCGATAGAACTTTGTGACCAAGGGATAATATGGATCAGAAAGATGAATTTGACACTGTGAATTCCCAAAATTTTGCACCAAAATATAATTAACTACAACAAGTCCAGATAAAATCAAGTTGACTGTTCAAAGTTCAGTTCTTGAAATTAAACAACAGACTGTTATTCCCCATTTGTCAAAGAATACTTACAGATGATTACTCTCAAGATTGAAGTCCGGTCACTAAACTACAGAGTCTCATTGTGAACATGTATCACTGGCCCAGCCAGGCTGATGTTGAAACAAAAACATACTCACCAAAATTGCCACAATCATATTCTGGAAATTAGACGTGTCTTCCTGTGACAGTATGTGAATGGAATCATCTTCGTTGTCATAGTAACCAGTTGTTATGATCTTTACTTGAATCTTCCCACCTGAAAATGGAGAAATTGGACAGAACTCAAGTAATGTCAATAACAGCAAATAATTAATGACTCATGTATTTAACCATTATGAAGATGTGACACTACGATGACGTTGTTCAAATCGGTTGATTCAGCTATGAAGACGTCATTCAAATCGGTTGTTTCTCGAATAAACAGATTTGAGGTGCGTGTTCATTTTCTTCCAGAATCAACTGAATCCAGTGCCATCATCAATATCAAAACAGAGAAGTATATACAAAGTCAGCTATGAGTGAGTGAGTGAGTGAGTGGCTTTATGCTGTTTACAGCAAATGCATTCTGGCAATATCACGGCAGGGATGCCATGGATGGGTTTCCCATATTGTACCAACGGAGAGAATCGAACCCTGTAATGAATCAATACTTTAACCATTTGGCTACCTCACTGCCCTTATAAGCTGAAATACTTACACAGTAAACACGGCTGACAACTGAGCATTGTAGCCAATCAATGAGGGTGTTCCGGGGGCATTTTATCAAGGTGGTACAAGAGAGATTTCACAGAGTTTTCAGAGTAAATGTACATGCAAAAGTGTTTCTTCTATACGTGTGTACACATTCTGTAAAATAGAAACCTCCATGTTTGGTAAAGGTGGCTGTCAATTCTATAGGTGTCGTTACTGAAACCAACTCTGAAATCCTGGCATGAAATCCTCGGATGCAAAGAGAGTGAGTGAGTTTGGTTTTATGCCGTTTTTAGCAATATTCCAGCAATATCACGGCAGGGGACACCTGAAATGAGCCTCAATACAATGTAACCATGAGGGGAATCGAACACGGGTCTTCAGCTTGACGAGCGAACGCTTAACCACAAGGCTACCCCAGTGCCCCCTTCATATGTAGAGGTTCAACAATGCTGTCATAATGGTAACTCCCCCATTGGTTTTTCAGGACATTAATAGTTCCTCAGCTGCCTTTGCTTCCTGTAAGAGGCATCAAATTGGATCCAGTGGTTTCATTGTACCCTCACGGAAAGGATCGTTACTCATAATATTAATCACTGGTTTGTCTGGCCCAGATTCGATTCATTTATGTCTTTGAAACCCCTCACCATTGCAAAATTTCAGATGTATAATAAACTTTTCATAGAGGTCCAGAAGACTTGGTTATAATCTGAGTTGACTGGACAATCTCTTTAAGGATTGTCTGGTCAAGACTCGATTATTTACAGACCGCTGACATATAGGTGGAACATTGCTGAGTGCAGCTTTTAACAAACAAACAAACAAACCTGTTTGAGAAGTTGCGTTTCTTCAGCCTCATATGACCAGGTATTATGGAGTTACCTCCCTTACAACAAATGCCCATGTGTGTGGCAGATTCCAACCAACAGAAGGTGTTGAACACACAATCTTGTAATACCTCACATTGTCATTTCATTGTTAGTCTTAACTAAACAACCAAAACGCCTGAAATATCCTTCACTTCTCCGCTTTTTATAAATTTTCATTCAAGAAAGAATTCCCAAATGAATAGGTTTCTTTTCGAGGACAACTTCTGAACACCCATGGTGCATTGAAATTCTTACAGTGTACAGAACAGATTTGCATTGCTGAAAAAGTCAAATTATATTAAAATTACGAAAAGAATAAAAACCAGTGTTGAAGAAAAAATGTAAAAAAATAGGACAAGATCCAGTGTGTTCAAGGCTGGTACCAAGGAACCCTTTCCATTATTTACACAATGCCAGGAGATATAATGTCTCGAGTATCCTTTGGATACAATCAGATACAGTATCATCCTACCATGGTTCAAGTCAGAGAGTAAAAAGTTCTGTACACAACTTTTAGCAGTTTTTGAGCAATATCAAAGGCCCCACACAACGGATGGGCTTCACATATCGACAGTGATTGAGGGCAGCGCTGCAACGTTCTTTAAACTATGACGTCACTGCATTGTGAACTTGTTGCATGATGTCGTCACACTGTGTGATGTCATCAATGGCATATGGCTACACATTAGAAATTGAGAGAAATACATAAAAGGTCATCATTATAATCCATTTGCAAAAAAAAGTCCACACATTATGTATTATCCAAATAGAAATTATCATGTTTTCTTATAGATGATGTAATATCTGTATGTGGTTACACTGTTATAAAAAATTGAACACTATTAATCATATTTTCATGCAAAACTGTTAAGACGGGCAATGATCATATAATCCTCTTGGCCTGTCCATGACTAAATTTTGTAGCTTCAGGGGGCCGTTGTCTCTCTGCGCCCCCGACTGGCCTGCCTAGAAAGGGTCTGCTTCCCTTTTAACCAAGACTTCATTCCATTACCTCTAGAGTGAGTGAGTGAGTATGGTTTTACGCCGCTTTTAGAAATATTCCAGCAATATCACGGCGGGGGACACCAGAAATGGGCTTCACACATTGTACCCATGTCGGGAATCAAACCCGGGTCTTCGGGGTGACGAGTGAACGCTTTAACCACTAGGCTACCCGACCACCCAAATCCAGTTTATAATAGGTCTTCAGCAACCCTTGCTTGTCGTAAGAGGTGATAGCGATAGAAACTAACAGTTTTGGTCCATTTGTCTTTATAATGATAACAGAGCAAAACCCTTAAAAAGGGCAAATTTCTACTGGTCCTTATGATACCTAAACTATTGGGCAGTTTGGCAAGGACTATAGGACTAGTGCCAATTTCGAACGCTGTGACTATGCATGTTGTAAGAGGGGACTCACTGGATCGGGTGGTCAGGCCTCTCTGGCAGAACCATCTAGGTCCTCGGCCTGAATAGGAAACAAATAAAGCACCCTGAGAGCAGAAGGTGCGGGGTTTGATGGATGCATCATACCAAAAGACACTAAAAGATGGTACTTGTTGTTACCCTGCCTGGAGCTCAGCATTAAGGGGATGATGGCTTGGATTCAGTATGCTGTGTCGGAGAGGGGTATTCATGTTAAACTGCAACATGGTATCTCAGTGGACTAGCACTATGAAATCGGCATTAGTCCATACTCTCTTGGACGCGATGTTAAACCCCATTTCACCTCATCTCATTTTACCCAATGAAAGACGTTGCTCATGATATCAATCACTTTGCACAGCGATACTCACCAAATTCCTGTGAACCACATTGTCCTATCACAAGATTCAATCATTACAGCTAGCAGCTGATGGAACAAAGACCATACAGAACACATTAATAGCACTTAATACTTAGGAATATTATCCCAGTATTGTGTAGTTTAAAGGCATATTTGTGAAATTACCACACTAAAATGTCCGTATTGTATGATCATTTCATTGAGAGCAGAGGCAATAACAGAAGGAAATACTTACAACAACTCACCAATCTGCAAACAACATGCCTATCTATCCCCACCACACTCAAATATGATCGTAATTACATGGCAAATTCACCCCACATGCAGAGATTCAAAGACATTGCTGGAATACAAAGAGAAAATCACCACTAATTCCTTCAGTGTACTCTTTCCTCCTCATCATCACAAACCCCATCTCCCTCAAATGAAACAAGCCTTGGATATGAGAGTACATCATAAACATTGCTATCATCCATATTTACTTGAAAACAAACACACCATCATGTGGTCGGCATTGGAATCATTAAACTATTTAAAATCGAACACATGTTGCACATATTTTCTGGAATTTTCGCATAGCATGGGTCTATTTAACTGGGTTTTTTTTTCTTTAAAAGGAATATTTGACATTGTGTTTTCATCATGAGGAACAAGAGAACAGTAGATGAGCCTAACATTTGAAGAACAATGTATATCCAACAGTACTAGAACAATGCCATACTGAGTGAAAATAAATCAAACTAAGATCCCCCCCTCCCAGCCACCCACCCTACCCCATGTCACCTTAGTAGATAAACTTATCTCATGTTCTCTTTGATTATTTAAATATATACACTTGACAGCCCTTGTCAGTTTGTCAATTATGTGTTATAACAACTTTTTTATTTTAGATTTTTTTCAGTTCAATGAGGTCTGAATCGAAAAACTGATGTGCAAACTGTATGAAATGCGATGTGGAATCTTACAAATGTTTGCACATTGTTTTTTTTATTCACACCTCAATGAACCCAAAAAAGTCCACAGTCAATCCTTATAATTAAATCCGACAACAAAAACATGTGTTATCTACAATAGTTTAACCAAGAAAAGTTTTATGTATCAAAGCAGCAAAAATGACGAGATTGATACACATTCCAGGTGTAGGAATACATACCGTGGCGTGACAGGAATCAGGTGATTGTTTAATTTATGCACATAACTTGACACACCTACAAAGTCAGTAGCCAATCAAAGGAGAGTAGGATCTAAGAGGTCATATGACCTGTCATACAAGGCAAGAGGCACGAAGAACTGCAACAGTCAGACTGTAACGAACCGGAACAAGTATGTCCGGGAGATTCAGAAGGCGATTGTTTCAAATGACGTAGTCAGTTACAGCCATGAGTTCCTGAGAACGGGAAGACAAAGTTGGAAAAATGCGGGTTAGAAATGAAACCCAAAGACATGAAATTTGTGGAGCACAGGTGAGCAGACAAAAAACAGGCGAGGGAGAACCTGCACATTTGCTGTTTCATTCCTTCTCGGCCTTCGGTTTCAAAGGGTAGTTTGGACAATGAATATGCATGAATTTCACTAAGTGTCCTGTGCATGACGATACACGTGAGCAGAAAGGGAATTCCCTCGACTGTAATATTGGGATGCTCCGACATTCTGTAGTAATAAAAGCAGTCCTCTAATCAGAATGGAGGAGGTACAATGAACACAACAAAAATTTAATTATGTAATGATACAATACCGTATCACCATGCTGCTTGTTGCAACATCACGTCAGTGTACCCTTGTCAGTTATGTATCATAACAACTGTCTGAATGTACCGTAATGTAAAGACACAATACCGTATCACCATGCTGCTTGCTGCAACATCACGTCAGTGTACCCTTGTCAGTTATGTATCATAACAACTGTCTGAA